TTTAAACACAGACGTACCATAATCAGCAAACCTACTCGTTTGAGACCATTCTATTTCATGTCCCGTTTCTGGTGAGATCGACCAACGAATCTCTTCTTCATGCACTTTCATACGAAATGAAGGTCCCTCTAATAATGAATGAGAATAGCTTTTGGGAACGCAAGGCAGTGTGAACCTCATTTGAAACGTAAGCTCTATTTATGCGATTGTGGGGCAATTCAACCACCAGTACCTCGTCACTTTAAGGGAAATAGAGTTAATACACCTCATATAATTGGAGATTTTGCAGAGCTTTAACATCAACCATCTCATCGCCTCTGTGTGCCACACATTTGGCCCCTTGGCGGGGGTCGAACTATGCACCAACGGCTTACTGGGCCGTTCGAAAAGACTGACCCTACCTCCAGACCACACCAACTGCCGCGCATCGGAATCAACCTGCTCCGTTTCACCCGGTCGGTAGAAAACGAGACAGCGCCTTTTCTTAAGACTCTCCACAATTTTCCACTCAATCCTCTGCGTCCAACCTCATGTCCCCTGTCTCGCCAACACTTATGCGGGACTCGAGCCCGGCGGCGAGGGCAAAGGGACTGTGTCTGCAGGTCAGGGTCGACCGCAAAGAATACAGGCGACCAATCAGAAATGCCATAACGTATCAGAGTTTATTGGAAACCTCGGAGGAGAATGAGTTGAGGCTGGAGTACTGCGGCCGAGGCGATGTGTTCTCGTGGAGTTGGCGCGACCGGCAAGTGTGGCAGAAACGTCTGATGCCACACCAACTTAGGCGCCCGCCTTCTTTTGTTCTTCATCTCTACAGCATCAAGCTGGTGATCAGACTAGCCCAGACCAGTTGCCATCCTGTCGAGGTTGTAAGAGCACAAATCATCTAGTCCTCGAGCAAGACGAGTAGGAGATCAGCCGAATGCCGATATTGCCATGAGATGCTGCGTAGAGGCGAAACACGAAAGAAATGTATTTGGGCTGGAAAGAGTCCGTGAATGCGGAAGAGCCTAAGAGCATAGTCAGCCTTGAAGATCATTGATGATCACTTATAGCGACTGGTGATCGAGTTGCTACACATAATCAGATGAATAGACCTCGGGGTACCATTGAAGGTATTCTCGCTTTGTCTCCCAAAAGACAAATGAGACGCCGATTGGAGGAAATCAGCTTCCGTCGACTGCGTTCCTTCATTTGTGGAGTAACCGCTGCCGAAGGAATAGAGAAAGCAGCACAGAGTGAGACGATGTTGGGTGAATGAAAAGATAGATAAAGAAGTAGATGGAGAGCTAATTGGAAAGAATAATATACAGATGGAGTGATAGATACATAGCTAGATGGGTGGATAGATGGATGAATGAATGGATAAATAGGTGATTTTACAGAGGTTGGATAGATTGAGAGAAAGATGGATGGATAGCTAATGGTAGTATAGATGACTGGATAGATGGATATATGTATGGTTTGATGATTGGATAGATAGATTTATATATATATGGTGAATATATATATAGTTAAATGGATTGATAGATGGATGGATGGATGGATGGATGATTTTACAGAGGGATTGATAAATTGATGGATAGATTATTTATCAGACAGACGGATAAATTGACGGAAAGATGGATGAATAGTTGATTAGTCAGAAGTTTAGATGGATGAGTGGATAGATGGATTCATAGTTGATTGGACAAGTGAAATGATAGAGATGGAATGCGTGGGAACGAGAAAGGAGGTAGGCGCGAAGGTATTTTGGGATGAGGAGATCGGCGAATCCTGCAGCTCAGGGCAACCAGGGGATGATGCGTTCTGAGAGTAGATTTCGACGCCGACTGGCGTTGAGCTGGTCTCAGAACCGTTTACTCAGCCCAGAACACATTCGCGCTTACTTCCTTTCTTGTTGCCACGCCTTTCATCTCTATCCCCTCAATTGTCTAATCAACTATGAATCCATCTATACATTCATTTGTACAGCCATCCATCTTTCCATCAATCTATCTATACTTATAACTAACCACTTATTCACCCACAAGCTCTAGGTTGCGCCAGTCTCCGAGGCAGTGTGTCTCAGTCCGTGACCGGACTGCGGTATCGGTCTCGACTCCCTTATCTCATCATCTTGTAAAGCGGTATTCGATACCACGTCGTGAATATTTTGTTGAATCAGGCTTGCCACTCCCCCAGACTTCATCGCCAAACTAGTTTCGGCCCCGCCTAAACTGGTCTCAGAAGAATGCCCAACGAGAGTCGAACCCGGGCAGCGGTACTGCAGCGTGTCAGCCCGACACGATATTACCGCGTCACACCTCCGTGAAGACCGGACTCCTCCTTTGTAACATTTTTTAATGGTAGGATTTCTGACAAAGGAAACCTCTATTTGCTATAACAATCCAAGCCTTATTCATGATTGGTTCGAATAGCTTTCGAAACCATCAGAATATCTGTCATGGAAACAGTAGTCTAGCCTGAAGGAGAATGTCTTTTCATAGTCAGGGCTATGTGATACTTGACGCTTGCTCATGTCATTATGGCAAAACTCAACTACCAGTCGTCAAATCGGCTTAAGCGATTTAGACTGATTGTGTCTCTAAAACATGCTTACAAACGATCACTGATACAGCAACTGAAGGTTTGCCCCGTCGAAAATTCTACATTTAAAAAACGTGATATGGAAAGAGCCTGGTTTCGGCTTGGAATTGAGAAGCATTCATGGCAGTGTGGCGAGATGGTATTGCATCGAGATTGCACCCTGGACTATCGGTGTCCTGATTCGAATCCCGTTGTGTATGTTGGTGAGGCTAGCTTACTTTTCGAATTAAGTATTGTTTTTGCTTACTACCAGTAAATCAGTAGTATGAGATGTATTCACTCAATTTCGTTCAAGGTAGAAGAAGAATTTCCCCACAAATGATATCAGTTGCGCTGACGTTTCCATTGCATTTTCACATAGCTTTGCTTTTACAAAAGTTGTTCTCATCAAAGCTAGCTTAGGTGAGCTTGAAATGGCAGTCCAGTTTGTAAGAGCAGGGTTCTGCTAAAGTCAATGCAAACGGGGGGCAAGCATTAGCTTGTGGGAAAATTCATTTACCAGTCCTTCACTATTTCATACAAAATGAAATGAAGATATGAAGACCAAGATGGTGTAGCCTTTTGTATGTTCGCAGTCTCCTTTCGTTGTGTAGAGGTTGTTTGACCTTGTTTTGGCAACTTGGTCATGTTGGTAGGAAGACTTAAAAGAACGCGCCTTGTCCGGAGTCCATTGTATGCATGATCACTTCCAAAGTCGGATCGTCGACGTGGTACATTGCCAGACCCTTCGCCGGCATCGTCAGTGAGTCTTGCTATTCTTAGCACCACACTTGTCTCTTTGACGAGTTGTAGTGTGTTGTTGAGAATGACAAGACTCGCGGGTGGTGCCGGCGAAGCGTCTAGGAATGTACCAATTCCACAGTCCTACTCTGGAAATTATGATGCAGACAATGAACTCCGGACCAGGCGCGTTCCTCTAAGTCTTCCTATCAACATGACCAAGTTGCGAATACAAGGTCAAACAACCTCTATGAAGTGAATACTGTCATTAAACTTGCACTTAGCCATAAGTAGATAGATTGATAGATAAAAA